GTCCACTGCGCGGAGGGGCGGAAGGGCGTGACAGTGTCCGCTGGGTGCGATGCCCGAGTGCGAGGTCAGAGGTACGGGAGGGGGCTCACTGATGGCTTGTTGCTGCTCTTGATAAGCCGCGAGTCCGACGAACGCCGCCTCGGTTGTGGTTCGGAGGCCCCGCATTTCTGGCTCGATGACGGAGCTGGGACGTTGCGGGAAGCCGGGCTTCTCCATTATCAGGGAGGCCGGACCAGAATTGGCTGCGAGGCGCCCTGGCGTTGGCCGGCAGCATATAGCTGCTTTCAGCTGGCCTCGTGCAGGAGCCATGGTGGAAAAGGCAGCAGGGCTTCTTCGGCGACAGCCGAGAGCAGAGCACAGCCAGATGGTCTGACGTCAGTGGTTCAATGCCCCCCCAGCACCTCCAGTGTCCGCGTCGATGGGAGGAAGCCATGACGCACTCTTCGCGGGCTCGCACTGAAGCGTCACGCACTTACACACGCACAGAAGCACGCACGCACACACACCGCCGACAGCTGTGCGAGCGTAGGCGCAAAGCGTCCTTCGTCTCTTTCTCCCGGCAAGCACCGACACCCAAGGTCACACACAGCTCTCTTCGCGGTAGACGAAACGAACACGGAAAAAAGTAACAACAGAGCAAAGTGACACTCAAAATTTGACAAAAAAACATAAAATACAAATAACACTTAATATTATACAAACGAAACATAAAATACACATGAACACTTAAAAAAAAACACTGGCAGCAAACAGGGCTGCGTCAGCTTCTTTACGAGAAAAGGCCGTAGAGAAGCTAACCTATACTGAGGCTAGACAGTAAACTGAGGGCCTTCGGTTGCGGAGAAGTCTGCTGTCCGGCGCGAAATCACAAAGGTGACCGCTGCCTCAGATTATACTGGTGCGGGGTCCGAATGCGGTCCGCCGCTCCGGGTGTGCCCCGTTGCTTGCGCGAAGTGCCGCAGGGCTCTGGCGCGAGCTCGTCAGACCGTGATACAAAGGGCTTCAGGTCTGCAATGTGGGCACGGCTGAGTTTTCCCAAAGGGGATCTTTCAGCTAGTACGCGCCACGGACGCTCACTGACAATCGGTTCGTAAGACCGGGCGGCTTTCCAACCCTTGGCTCAACCGTTTGTCAGACGTGGCAGGCACGGAATAGCAATAAAAGCCACGCTTTGTGCCGGGCCAGGTCACAACATTGCTCAGTTTGCAAAAACTTTCGAGCCACTCAGGTGACCGGCCATGGATTCGTCGTGAGAGGATCGCAACAGTGCGGCTCTCAGACTTTTGGGCATAACCACCTTAAAGTGGTCGACGGACTCGTCGTCAGTGGCTATATACTTCAACAGGAGCCCGTCGTGGTCCAGCAAAATGAATCCGCCGGGGACTCAGCGACACACGCTGTTTCAGCCCCCTAATCGCGCCCGCCGCAGAACAAGCAGCGTAAAGGCGCCCGCCGCAGAGCAAGCAGCGTATACGGTGCTCCGTCCCTCTGAGATTCGAAACGGATCACTTTGCTGAGCCTTCAGTAGCTCTTCGCTGCTGAAAGCGATTTCCATTCTCCCAAATGGGGGAGTCTGGTATCGCGCCCACTCAGGACCGCCGCGTTCACGACGTCACGGGTTCGCTCTCGGCACGGTGGCCTTCGGAAAGTTCCCCCGCTCAGAGCTACGCAGTGCGCCGCTTACCTGGATAGCAGCCAAGGTCGTCCTCATGGGGACTCCCCCTTTTTGCCGCTGTTTCGCCCCCGACGGTTGCATGTGCTAAGGCACCGCGAGCGGCCGTCGCACCGAAATCCAGGTTCTCGGCAAACAACAGGAAGCACGAGATTGCGCGTCAGCTACCACGTAGGAGTGTGTTCACCACAAAAAGGGGTGACGACACAGGCGAGCGCCGGAGGGCGCCCGTCGATAGAGGCGGTGGCTTCTTTGTGCAACGCGGCATGCCACGAAGCAGACATGTTGCGACGAGCCCGAATCGCGCAGGCGAACTGGCTTGCTAAGAGCAGTCAAAAGCTAGAGCTTTTGATACCGCGTTGGGCGCCAGTGTGGTGTACACGTATCCCGAAGGAGTACCGCCACCAGCGTGGGTCGGGTCTTAGCGAGCCGCAGGGCACGTGTTCATCGTCGCCGTGGCGAGAACACGATACTGCTCAAGTCGCAACACTTTATTGTGGCAACACCAAACGCAGTACAGCCCGTTGCAAAAAGGTGCGGCGGGAAAGCAAGTAGGCTTATCCACGCCACGGGCACAAAGTACCACACAGGGTGCCACAAGCACGTCTCCACAGTAAAGGTGATCCACGGAGACACCGGGACAAAGGCCCGGTTGCTCGAGCGAGGGCAAAGGCGCTCGCGTTGCCTTCGGAGGGAGACGGGTCGGCGTAGCTAGGCCATGCACTAGGACACCGTACCGCCCTCGGCCATGTGTACGCAGCGGGGCAACAAAAGGTGAGTGTTCGCCTCGGGCGCGAGGCACCGTCAACGAAGTCCGACGAGCCTCGAGGAACGGGAGTCGACGGACGGAAAAGATAGCGTGGCTCACCGTTTGCTGTCCCGCAGAGTATCTGACCGCTCCCGACGCAGCGCGCGAAAACCTCTCGGGAGTCCCCGCGCGTGGCGCCACAGTCAACATCCGCTTCCGGGTGAGGGAGTTAAGCGTCACTCCGCTCTCCCACCACGGCAGACAGCAAAGAAGGGCAGACATGTCGGGACATGAGAACGGCAGGAAAGGCGGCAAAGCCCACGCAAAGGCAGCGGGCTAGCCTCAATTTCTACAAAGGTAAGGCTGCAATCATGAGCGAGGTGGAAAAGGGCAGAAAAAAAAAAAAGGACATCGCCGAAGAATTTGGTGTTGCTTGCCGCTCGTTGTTCATGATTCTCAAGAACAAGGCCTCTATTCTTGGTGCACTTGAAAACCGCACGAGTGCGAGAAACAAAACCGTGACCGCTGCAGCGTTCCCGAACGTGGACAAGGCATTGTTTGCGTGGTTTTGTGAACAGCGTGCCAACAAGGTGCCTTTATCTGGCAGGATCCTGCAACAGAAGGCACTGAACTTCGCTTGTATGCACAGCCACGACATCTTTAAGGCGAGTCCCGGCTGGCTGAGCCATTTCAAAGCTCGTCACGACATCGTGGCCAAAGTCACCTTTGGGGAGGCAGCAGCTGTCGACTTGGTGACAGCGTCTCGTGGCTGCTGAGCAACAAAAAAACTGCTCGGCCAGTACAAGCCCTCGGACATATATAATGCCGATGAAACATCACTGTTTTATGAAATTCTGCCATCCAAGACCTTGGACTTTAAAGGCCAGAAGTGCCATGGTGGCAAGCACATCGAGTGATGCGTGACGATCTTATTGTGTGCCAACATGGATGGCACAGATAAACGGCCAGTGCTCGTTATTGGCAGGAGCAAGAAGCCCCGCTGTTTCAAGAAGAATCGCAGGCTGCCTGGAAGCTACACTGCGAACTTGAAGTCGTGGATGATGCGGGATATTTTTAGCAGCTGGCTCCAGTCATTGTATGCTGACATGCGGAAGGCAAACAGGTCGGTCTGCCTTCTTCTCAACAACTGTAGCGCCCATCACGTCGACTTGCAGCTCGGAAACGTGCGCCTTGTGTTCTTTCCACCAAACTGCACTTCGGTGCTGCAGCCTCTCCAGGGTGTTATTCGCAGCGGGAAGCGCACTTACAGAGCGAGGCTGATTTAGCGTTTGCTGCTAAATATACATATGAAGCGCCCCACTGACATGGACATGTTATGGCGCTATAGATCATCACCGCCGCATGGATTGCGACGAGTGCAGCCGTGATAAATTGCTCCACACATGCCGGCCTTGTCACTCCGCAGGCATCATGCACTGATCCAGTGGAACCGGAAGTTGGTTCGCCTGTAGGGGCACTTGATGATGGTACTGGTAACAGCGCAGTGCTGCTGTCGCTGACCAGTGCATGGGGCGAACTTTGTGCCATGGCAAGTGAGATTCCGATGGTCTCAGCGTCCATGACTTCGTTTGTGCGGATGAAGGCGTCGCCATGCACGAGGAAGTGACCGATGAAGCCATCGTCAGTAGCGTGTGCGAGGCGGCCGACCTCGATGAGCAACGACCGGAGCAGCCAGAGAAAATAATAATCCCGCAGGACGTGCTGAATGCCTTCGACACAATTCACTCGTTTTTCGGCGAGCACGATGACAACGTGGCAATGGACCATTTCTTACAGTGTGAGTCGAGAGGTATGAAATTGCTGCATGGTAAGGCCCGCTAAAGTAAACCTACTGACTTTTGAAAATAAAATGTGTTTTTTTTTGTAAATTTTGTCTTTTTCTGTCGCATTATTGCGCCAACAAAATTCCCGCAAGAGCAAAATTTGTGCTTTTCCCGCCGATTTCGTTATTGTGGGTTTCAACTGTAATAGCAATAGCTTACATGTCCAGATAGCTAGATGTGCCTGAATGCAAAATTTGGGAATGCTCGCAGTGTATATATAACCAACACTTTCTTTAGCGCTTGGATGCTGTCCCACGTTGACGTGAAGTCATGAAGTGGCCGTGTCATCGGCTTTACAGCCTCTCGGCTGAAAGAATTTTGTGCTTCATGCTCACACTTTGGAGTCTGCTGCAGCCTCTCGTGAAATGGTGATGATGTAATAGAAAGGTTGCCACACGACCTCTAAAATTATTACACCAACATTCTTGGAGGCCGTGCCTAATGAATATGACGTCTTTCGATTCTTTGACGTACACGACCTCCAAAATTATTACACCAACATTCTTGGAGGCCGTGCCTAATGAATATGACGTCTTTCGATTCTTTGACGTACAAGACAAGGCTAGACAGGCATGAGAACACCTTATAAAAGGCGTCTATCTTTTATATGGTTTGATATATTGTGTTTATGTTGAGAGACTGGTCTGGTGGCGGCATTGCTTTGACTCTCGGGGCTATGTCAACTGGCTGGGTGTTGCGTTTATATTCTCTTACGTCTTTTATTTTTTTATTCTAGCACAAGACGCCTTGTCGAATGCCAAGCGGAACACATCGTCTTCATCTGTGCCAATTAGGTGTCGAGGGCTGACAAAGAACATGAACGATTCAAGTAAGGTTCCACATAATGCAGAACCTGTTGTAGCTGTGCATGCCACCTTACTCTTTCTTGGTAACATTACAGTGTGGCTGTGTAAGTGATCATGGTTGCATATACAGCAAAATCTCGTTAATTCGACCCCCGTTAATTCGGAATTTCGGTTAATTCGGTCACGGCATCTGGTCCCGTCCAAAATATACATTGTTCTATGACTGAAAACTCATTAATTCGGACAAATTTGGCCACCCTTTGTTTAATTCGAACGCCCAACTGCAATCGAGACACGACGGGAAACAGCAGCGGATTCTGCCGGCCAAATCAACAGCGCACCTAAACAATTTGGGATCAGATTGCAGCCTCAGATTCAAAACTTCGTCCATGGGTGGTACATCTTCGAGGCACCCCCCCCCCCCCCCCCCCCAAAAAAAAAAAAAAACACATGGTGGTTTTAACAACCAATATGGAAGGCAGTGAATCGCTACTGTAATCAGCAACAAGCAATCTATGAATTTGCCTTTCCTTTTTTCTCATGCATCGAACACATCTGCGTAACGGTTGAGTTGGATTGCTCACCTCTAGTGTGCTCTATATTATTTATCTGTATGTGATCAGTGCTATCTGCAGCCTTACTATTAGCTGTTTTTTTGAAAAGTTCGCCGGTTTTTATTTCGTGTTTATCACCGCGCATTTTTTTGTGTGTGTGTATTTGTGTTGTCACACACACAAATACACACACACGCACGTGTGGTCTTGCGCGCAGTGGTGCACGCGCGCAAGACCACTGCGCGAGCAACGCGGGTTGGCTTCCTCTCCGTCTCCTGCGGCCCTAACTGCTCCAACTTCTGAAGCGAAGAGGGCAAAGTACGAAGCAAAGGATTTGGCTGCGAAAGTGAAATATTGAAGTCGTTGCAAGCGGAAGCATCTCGAAAAGAAGTGATGAAAAAGTTCAATGTGAAGAAAAGCTCGCTGAGCACGTACATGAAGAACGAAGAGCAGATTATGCAAGCGTATGACGAGGACATGTTTCGTGACCAAAGGAAGAGGCTTCGAAGGGCAGCGCATCCCAAGCTAGAAGCGCTGTTGTGCTGGATTGCCGTTTCACGCGATGCACGTTTGCCCTTGAGCGGCCCCCTTATCTGCGCACAAGCAGAGAAGTTCGCAGTGACCATGAACATCGACTCCTTCAATGCATCGGCAGGCTGGTTTGACCACTTCAAGAAGCGACACAGGCTGGTGTTCTGCAACGTGTGTGGTGAAGAGAGGTGCAGTTGACGAAAGTGTTGTGCAGGACTGGCGGTCTGGACTATCTGCGCACCTTTCTAGATACGAGCCATGCAACATTTTGAACGCTGATGAGACATAGCTGTTCCATAAGGCTCTGCCTAAAAAGACAATCGCATTTAAGGGGCACCTGTGCGTCGGTGGAAAACGAAGTAAAGAGCGTGTGACAGTTCTTCTGGCTCCTAACATGACCGGCACAGAGCGGCTGCCGCTGTTGGTGATCGGGAAGGCTGCGAAGCGAAGATGTCTTAAGAATATTAAGCAGCTGCCTGTCGACTACCGGTTCAACAGAAAGGCTTGGGATGACTGCCGAACTCTCTCAAGCCTAGCTGCATCAGCTTGACCGCCGCTTTGCGGCCAAGGCTCAAAAGGTGTTGTTCGTGCTATACAACTGTAGTGCACACATGAAGGTGTCCGGGCTCAAGAACATTGAACTGCTATTCCTGCCTCCGAACACAACGGCTTCCCTGCAACCGATGGACCAGGGAACCATATAGTTCCTGAAAAGCCGCTGTCGACAGCAGGTACTCGAGCGGATGTTGCTTTGCGTGGAGTCAGGCAAGCAGAACGAAGTATGCCTGCTAAGCGAAATCCATATGCTGACATACGTGTGTAAGAACGCGCCGCCAGAAGCAGTCGCAAACTGCTTTAGGCATAGTGGCTTCATGTTACACGCGATGAGAAAACTGGCGAAGAGCAAGACGGCCGCTGTGTGAGCATCATGCCAGCTGATGTGCCCCTGGGCAATAACTTTGCAATTGACGGCGATGTTGCCGTGGCCGGCACAGTGACCGACAGCGATATTTTCGCCGAAATCATGGACGGCGGAGGGGAATCGGCTGACGAAGATGTAAGTGATGCTGACGAGCGTCCACGCCACACAATGACGGAGGCTGCGCATGCGTTGGCCGTTTTGGAGGACATATGCCTCCTTTCCTTGGACGGTGTGCGCCGACTAAGCCTCCTGCAAGAACTTGGCAAAATTGTGACTTTGTCGCGAATTGTGTCCGTGAAACAAACCGCGATCACAGACTTTTTTAAGAAATAAAAGTCTGATGGTGTAGGAGACATTTTTCAAGGGTTCTGTTCGTACTCGTGATAATTTGCACCCTCGGTTAATTCGGACATTCTCTTTAGTTTATCAAGTCTTAATTAACGGGGTTTTACTGTACACTCATACTTTATTACAACAAAGTTGCATCCTACATTAAAATGCGTTTTTTATAATCAAAAGTTTGTTGTAATGGTTTACTACTAACACTGTATCGATTGAAAGACTATATTTAATTTACTTCGTTACTACTATTCTTTTGTTATAACCAGGCTTGTTATATTTAGATTTTAGTGTAGTATGAAGTTATTGTCCCAGTGAAGATTCAAATATGGAGGAGATGCGTGCTGCACCGTACAACGATAACTCAACAGCCCATAGAACACTTTGCAAATTGATACAAGCTAGCCCAGTTGTTGCCTCATAAATGTGCAGAAAATTTGGGTTTCTGTACCGAGGATGGGTTGTCGGGAGTTTGAGTAAATTAACGTGCACCTTCATTTCTGTTTGATGAGAAATGTACATGCACTTTCACACAAATCGGTAAATGGCTTGGTTTAAAGTCCATTTCTTGTGTCTTATCGGATACAGCATACGTGTCGCCAAAATGGTTTCTACAAATGTTTGTCCATTGAATATTGTCACGGGCTAAGTAGATGCCTGAGGATGACGACGACGAAGTGCTGAACTTGAACGTGCTCGGACTGCAGCAGCGTTGTACGCATTTGCTCGCCAGTATATTCGCCAGTACGCATTTGCTCTCCGGTGTATACTTTATTCCCCGTAATATCATTGGTGGAGGTGCCGGAGTACCACTCGCTATACAGCCCAACGAGCTGGATCTTCGCAGTGGACGGCGCATTGCAGCTACCACGATGACTGACCAGGCTACTTAATGTCAACAAGATCCGTCAGCCCCGCAACCGATCGTTGTGGTACAACCTCGTGACCCAGGCCCATTCAACAGCACAAGTGGCATAGACGTCGATGACTGGCTGGTTCTATATGAACGCGTCAGCAGCAGCAACCATTGGGATCCGACGCTTATGTTGGCGAACATCTTCTTCTACTTGCATGGCACGGCGAAACTCTGGTACGAGACACATCAAGAAGAGTTGACTAGCTGGGACGTCTGTAAGCAGATATTGCGCTATCTATTTGGGAAATCCATCGGACGTTAAGTGGCCGTAAAGAAAGAGCTTGCGACTCGTGCCCAGACATCCACAGAGCCGTACATCGCGTACATCCAGGACGTGTTGGCGTTGTGCCGCAAGGTCAACAAGGACGTGCTCGACGAGGACAAAGTCGGACACATCCTGAAAGGAATTGCCGATGACGCCTTCAATTTTCTCCTGTGCAAGGACTGCTCGACGGTGTAGTCAGTCATCGAAGCATATCGTCGCTTAGAACAGGCAAAAAGTAGGCGCATAGTTCACCAATTTGACCGCCTTCCCAACACGGCGGCTGCGCCCTCTTGCGAAGATTTGCCCACACTACATCAACCACCAGCGTCAGAAAACGTCACCAGAATAGTCCGTCGGGAACTCGAGGCTATGGCACCCGCTATGTCTAGCGTCAGCGTGCCAGGGCACAACCTCGATGCTGTTTCAATGATAAAGGACGTGGTTCACCAAGAGATCGCGAATATGGGCATTTCGCTACCTCATCAAAATGCCCCTGCTACTTCCAGCTCGGCTCCAGTCGTTGCGGCTGCCACTCCGAACCGCACGTTCGCGCCACGACGAAACTCAGCTGAATGGCGCACTCATGATGATCGGCCCATATGTTTCACGTGCCATCGGATAGGACACATCGCTCGCCATTGCCGCAGCCGTTGGACCTCATCACCTCGACCGAGCTTCTATGATTGGGGGCCTCGCTCCGAACGACGTGCACCTTATGCCCCGTCCTACCGTGCTGAGACAGGTGCAGAGCATAATCCAGATCGTCGGACCAGCCGCTCGCCATCGCCCGTGCGTCGTCAGTCCCGCTCGCTCCAACCCCGCTGTTCTCGGTCTTCCTACGACCGTCGCTCGGAAAACTAGCCGGTGCAGCCCCCGGAGGTGACGCTGCATACACGACTCGGACTGCAAATCCTCTGATTACTCCCGACCAGCGGTGCAACCTTCTTACAATTCTCGTTGATGGTTTACCTGTAACTGCTCTTATTGATACCGGTGCACAAATATCTGTGATGAGCTCAGACCTCCGCCGCCGCCTCCAAAAAGTTCTGACGCCTGCGATTGCACCTGCCGTTCGTACAGCGGATGCGAGTACTCCTGCTGTGCTTGGAATGTGCACTGCACGATTAACGATTTCTGAGCATCAAACTTCAGTTCTGTTCGCTGTACTGGAAAATTGCCCTCATGACCTCATCATTGGACTCGACTTTCTGACTTCACAAGCTGCGCTCATTGACTGTTTCAAAGGTCTTCTTCTACTCGAACTACCATTCTTTTCAGAGACCGTCTCTACTAGCCCACCTCGTCTAGGCTCTGTCGATTTCCTCAGACTTCCGCCGCAAGCCGCAGTCCAAGTCCAACTCTCGCCATATCCTCCAGTACCCGATAATGATTATGTTGCTGCCCCAATTTATGACGTGGCCATGACACGTAATGTTGCACTCCCCAACACGGTGGTTACCGTTAAGGACAACCGAACTTCATTTTCCGTCCTCAATTTTGGCTTTTCAGCGCAAGTTATTCCTCACGGCATGTCACTTGCGCATCTGACACCACTGGTCGACCACACAGTTTCCACCCTAACCACCGATTTGCCACCCGATTTTTCATCAACGGCGCTCTCGTCACTTTCTTGTTCCGACCTTTTCAAGCCAATGCTATCTGACAAGCTCACCTCTGAACAAGTCTCTGCTTTCTGCCATGTGCTTGCTTCTTATCAAAACATCTTTGACTGCGGGGACCGTAATTTGGGCCAGACATCCGTGGTAACCCATCGCATCGACACCGGTGACGCTCGACCCATTCGCTGACGACCCTACCGTGTGTCAGCCCCGGAGCGTGCTATTATACAGCGAGAAGTCGATAAAATGCTTCATAAGCGCATAATCGAACCCTCATCGAGTCCCTGGTCCTCACCCTTTGTACTTGTTAAATAGAAGGACAATAGCTTGAGATTCTGTGTTGATTACCGCCATCTCAACCATATTACCAAGAAAGATGTCTATCCCCTACCGCGCATAGATGATGCACTCGATTGCTAGCACGGAGCCAAATATTTCTCTTCAATAGACCTTCGCTCAGGCTACTGGCAGATTGCTGTGGACGACAGAGAGAAGACGGCCTTCGTGACTCCTGATGGACTTTATCAGTTGAAGATGATGTCTTTTGGATTATGCAATAACCCTGCAACTTTTGAGCGCATGATGGACTCTCTCCTTCGAGGCATGAATTGGACCATCTGCCTCTGCTATCTTGACGACGTTATTGTTTTTTCCACTCCTTTCGACGACCATCTTACCCTTCTGTCCACAGTGCTTGATGTTTTCTGACGTGCCAACTTGCAACTTAACTCGTCCTAATGCCGCTTTGGGCAACGCCAAATCTGCGTACTCGGCCATCTTGTTAACGCTGCAGGCGTTCAAACAGACCCTGCGAAAGTCCGAGCAGTTCGCGACTTCCCCACACCCCGCTCAGCCAAGGACGTCCGAAGTGTTCTGGGACTGTGCTCCTATTTCTGTCGTTTTGTCGAGAAGTTTGCTGAAGTAGCCCGTTCTCTAACCTGCCTCCTCAAAACGGATGTTGCATTCACCTGTGGCCAACAGCAAGCAAACGCCTTCTCGTCGCTCGTTGACATTCTCACCAATCCACCAGTCCTAGCACACTTCGACCCATCTGCCGCCACGGAGCTTCGTACCGACGCCAGTGGCCATGGCATAGGTGCAGTGCTGGCGCAGCGGCAACAAGGCATGCACCGCGTCGTCGCGTATGCAAGCAGACTGTTGTCGCGCTCGGAACAAAATTATTCGATCACAGGACGCGAGTGTTTAGCTCTCGTCTGGGCCATTGCGAAATTCCGACTGTACCTGTATGTCCGACCATTCTCAGTTATTACGGACCACCATGCCCTTTGCTGGCTCTCCTCACTCAAGGACCCTATGGGACGCCTTGGTCGCTGGGCGCTGCGCTTACAAGAGTACACTTTTTCCGCATCCTATAAATTCGGACAACTTCACAAGGATGCCGACTGCTTGTCCCGTTACCCAGTCGATCCCCCTGACACGATGGAAGACGGACAAGAGGCCCTCGTTCTTTCAATTACCGACTTCACCGACATAGCTGCTGAACAACGCCGCGACCCCTCTTTGCGTGCTATTATCAATGGTCTGCACTCTCCCCAACCTGACCACTCCTTACAACTAATCGTTCTTCACAACCACATCTTGCACCGCTACAACACCCGCCCTGATGGTGCTGAGCTTTTACTCGTTGTTCCTGTGCATCTTCGCTCAGACGTTTTGGCCCAGCTCCATGATGCCCCCACCGCCGGACACCTAGGGGTGTCACGCACGTATGACCGCATTCGCCGCCGATTCTTTTGGCCTGGCCTCTACCGTTCTGTGCGACCGTACGTTGCGACATGCGACCTCTGCCAGCGCCGCAAGACACCTGCTCTGGGACCTGCTGGTACCCTCCAGCCCATTGAAGTACCAGATGAGCCATTTTTCCGAGTCGGCCTCGATCTTCTAGAACCTTTTCCCGTGTCGGCCACCGGTAATAAGTGGATTGCTATTGCTACCGACTACGCAACGCGGTATGCCGTTACACGCGCCCTCCCCACCAGCTGCGCTACTGATGTAGCCGATTTCCTTCTTCATGACATCATTCTGCGTCATGGTGCTCCTCGTCAGTTGATCACCGACCGCGGCAGCTGTTTTCTATCTAAAGTAGTCGACGAGCTCCTGCGATCCTGCTCTACCCACCACAAGTTCACTACAGTGTACCATCCGCAAACCAACGGCCTCACGGAACGCCTCAACCGTACCCTGACGAATATGTTAGCGATGTACGTCTCCAAGGATCACAAAGATTGGGACATCCACTTACCTTTCGTTCCCTTCGCATACAACAGTTCACGTCATGATACAGCTGGATTTTCACCTTTTTACCAACTGTTTGGTTATGACCCGCCTTTGCACATGGACACCATGCTCTAATCTGACGCCCCCTCATCGACTGCTTATGCTCGTGATGCCCTGGCCCGAGCTGACATCGCCCGCCAAGTCGCCCGGGATTGTCTATGTGCCTCGCAGCTTAACCAAAAGAGTGCTTACAACCGCCGGCACCGCGACGTACAGTACTCTCCGGGGTCGCTCGTCTTGCTGTGGTTACCATCACATCGTGTTGGTCTCTGCGAAAAACTGATGTCCCGTTACGTTGGCCCCTATCGCGTCATACACAAGGTCACCAGCAGTGACCTATGAGATAGCTCCACTCTATACCACGTCAGTACCAGCTTCATTCCCGACCGATATAGTGCACGTCTCACGGCTTAAACCATACTACTCACGCCTCGAGAATTGATGGCACCGGGACGGTGCTTCTGCCGCCGGCAGGTAATGTCACGGGTTAAGTAGATGCCTGAGGATGACGACGACGAAGTGCTGAACGTGAACGTGCTAGGACTACAGCAGCGTTGTACGCATTTGCTCGCCAGATTTTCGCCAGTACGCATTTGCTCGCCAGTGTATACTTTATTCCCGTAACAATATCTTTATTTTCTGTGTATGTTGCACATTATGATGAAAAATAATTGTCTTCCTTGAGGTATTTTTTCTTAACTGTGAAGCTTTTTATTTTTTTCAGAACTGCAGTGTACATTTTTAATTAGCAAAAGGGTTTGATTTGAAGATTGCTAATGCGTATAATTACTCCAGTTTCTGTTATTTAATTGATGCTTAAGAATGTGAAAAAGCCACCCTTATTAGATGCTGAGAGCAGCAATCTCTGTGCTAGTTGAGACAGTTGCTGTATCATTGTAATTCATGTGAAAATAATTGTTATTGACCCATGGGGTTACATGTGAATAATAACATGACATTAGAGGCAAGTACCTTGAGGCTGGATCTTGGAATTTAATGTTAGCTTGTGATGCTTGATAGCTGCTTGTTCGTTGTCTGTGACACCATGAGGACCTTGGCCAAACATATGTCGGCTTTGACAACAGTGCATTTATGAGTCTTCTTTTGAGTTCCACTGTGTGGATCCTCAACCCCTGACGCTTGCTTTAGATGTGAAGTTGCATGCATACAGAACTCTGGGATATGGGTGGGTGTGTGGGGCAGTTTCGGAGCCAGAAAGAAGAGCGGGGCTTAAGGCCAGGGATCCCCAAAATTTGGATAAAGGGAAGGTTCTACCCAGAATAAGTAATAGGTGTTTTTCAAGGTTTCCAACAATTGTTCCCTCCCCTCCCAAAAGAAAAAAAAAAAATCCTGGATACGGGCCTGCTGTCGGGGATGAGTAAATGACTGATCTTGGGAGTGGCAGCCACAAGGTTAGAGGGTTAAGGATCATCATTAAGTATATTTTTGTCTGTTTGAACCCTAATTTCGGGGGCACATTTCAGGCCCTCTGAGAGGTATCCCAAGTCGTGTGCCAACCGGTGGCTTCAAGACGCCCACTAGTGGCAACCGTCTCAGTTCCGGTACTCCGCTCAGTCGGTCTCTCACCAAGCCTCTGGGGAACAAAAAAGATGGCGGCATCAAGGTGAGTGACCACTGTAGTCTAACTTGCTGACTATGAGCATGCATACACAAGTTTGCTGTGCAGTAACTGCCATTACATTGATGTTAACAGCATACGCTTAATTGCGTGATCGAGACGGCTTTCACCGTCATAATCGTCAGCCCATTCGATGTCCACAGTGGGATGAAGGTCTCTCCCAAACCCCTAGTCACATCCGACAGGAAAGGTTAGCATCTACAGGTAGTGCGACTGCCTACTGCACCAATGTGCCACCAGCACCACAGTGGCCAATTGTGGCCAGTTCAGTTTCCACTTGCATGCTCTGAATTGTCTCTTTGTCTGCTCTGCCCATGTTGTGTGCAAGTGAGTGGGCAAAGGGGACATGTCAAAATGGGTCCTTTCAAAAAATTAGCTGTGCAGGTTCTTTTAGAGCCTCAGATTAAGAGAAAGAAGATGATTGGTACACAATTAATCTTTTTTTGACGTTACAGGACGCATGGATGTGCAACAGAGAGTTTTGAAAGGCCGATTTGTGTGGCAGGCAGGGTAAACCTGGAAGCATGGGCTGTCGCAAAGCTCTACTTTCGAAGTTAAATGAACATATTATCCTCACATGAGTTCATCTAAAGTTTAAAAGCTTGTTATTCTGGCTTAGTATAACTTGAGTGTAGTAACTTTTATAATTAGTAAATAGTAAAACAATGTATTTTACGTAATGTAACATATTATAGCCACGAAATCCAGTGAGCATCTCCTTAACATTTACTTTTTCTCAACATCTTTCTTTGTCTCTTTTAATTTTTCCTCATCTTTTCTCTTGTGAACTACTGCTTAGGTGTCGCACTTAGCTGCAGACAGGTTTGGGCTTGACTTTGCTTTCAATTTCCCTTTCTTAAAGATCACGCCCCCTCCCCACGGACTGAAGAGGGGGAGATTTCAAAACCAACTAGTATTGAATTTCGCATTTCTTTACCCTAGGTTAATGCACATGTTGTGCTTACGCACATTTTGGGGAAGAAGTTTTGCGTATTAAAATTGAGTGAATGCTGTGCCTCAAAATGTTGCTTTTAGAAGCAGTTTGAAGTGGTGGATGCAACTTGTAGAAATTGCTCTGTTATTTCTGTGTGCAGCTGCTGGATATCAATGAGCAACCACTTGGTTACGGAAGGGATGCAAAACGGCGGAAGAAACCTACGGGTAAGTTTGTGTCTGCCCACTGATCAAAAACAATTATGCAGGGCTGTGGTAAACGTTACTTCCTGAATGATCAACATGGCTCGGAAGATGGGTGAGAGCTCACTACACTTGCTACTACCACACCTAGGGTTGCATAGGCTTATCACTTGACTCAAAGGGATAAAAAGAAAACTCGTAATTGGGCTCTTGCGTAAGACATGTGCATTCAATATATGAAACTGTATTTCTGCATAAAGTGCGTGGTAAGTTTTGTTAACGTACCTGCCTGCATGTTGTCCATTTCCCCTATACTGCAGGTGAGAAAAAGAGCATTCAAGTTCCTTCTTGCCCCCTCGCCCACACTGCAGTGGTAAAATACACTGCTCCACTTTGGCTCTGTGTTCTACAGCACATGATTGAAAAAATGTGTTTGCTAATGTCACATACAGCTGACTCTCAGTAAATGGAAATTCGTCAAATGGAACGGCTGCTTAAATGGAACAACTGCCTCTGATATGATTAGGTGTTGTCCCTGAATACTACAGCCTTATTCATCTCTCAGTGAACGGAACCCCTGTTAAATGAAACATGCTTTTCCTAGTCCCTTCAGATTTGTTGAATGAAAATCTACTGTACTTTGACCATTGGCGCCTGCTGAAGATTCAATTGTATTCTTTCTTTGAGGCAGTAACTGAAACTTTGTTATTGTGAAGTTCCGGGTTTCGCATGTTTTAAATGCAAAGCATTTCTTAGCAAACATAATAAAGTTGTTTACTACTACTTAGCGAACTTTGGAGACTTTGAGCGTATCTATCTATCTATCTAGCCGCTTACGTTTGGGTGCTCTAGTGGTCACCCGCCTAACTTGGCGTGAACCAAAATTAGCATGGCAAGGTAAGATGGTTTGACGAATATGACACGCTGGTTAAGACATAAATACCGTCACAATTCTATCGCGTACGTCGTCAAACACTTCCTGCCAGACAGTGGCACATACCCACTGGCGGATATGTGCCGCTGATATATGGGTATGTGCCTCAGGTGATTGACACCCAGGAATGGCGAGAACACACTTGGGCAATTTTAACGTGCGAGCGTTAAGAAATACCTGATATCGGTGGCCTTGACCTGGTAAATGCGAATAATAAATGTCAGGGTCCCAAGTGGAATCGAACCCAAGCATTCTGCGTGGCAATGAAGCATTTTACCTAAGAGCTACGCCAGGTCTGGGAACTACTTTTCAAATAGGCGGTAATCTTCGTGAAACATCAATAATGGTTGCAGTGCTGCCTACCCAATTTTATAAACATTACCAATGTCGGGTTAACGTCAATTGTAGCTAGTTGCCATGCGCTGAAGTTAATAACGTAGCAGTGTCTAGGGCCAGCATGCTTGCAAGCATCAGCACTTCATATCAGCTTCTGGCGTTGCTAATCGCTTGTTCCAGTTGGCATCGCTGCGCAAGTGCAAACAACTGGTTATATAAACATCCGCAACTTTTCAACATTTGTATGTGCATGCAACATTTGTACATATAATTAGCGTCTTTTCAGGACGTGTCGCTCAATAAAAAAATTGCAACACGGTAACCATCCCTCCGCATGCTTCGTGTAACGTCGATTCCCAGGTACGTGGGATCTGCCAAATTTATTATGCTGACGTAAAAAAAATATCCGGTGTTCCATGAGCATGATGTTATAATGAGATAAATACATCGATATGTGAAGGATTTGATTAAAATGAACATTTAAACCACGTTATGTACCGTGTTATACCTTTATATCGTGTTATGTACCATGTTATACCTTGATGGCATAGTCAATTGGTAGTGTTGCCGACTCGTCAATCTGCATCACAAGCTGCGCGCGGCCCATGGCACAGAAAAAGCCATGTCATGCTACTGATACCTGAAATCACAGTAGCTCATGCAAGTTTCATGCGTCTAATGATCAGTTTGTTTACTCTTTAAGAGACACTAAAGGCAAAAAACAAAAACTACCGGTTCTCTAAGAGTTGTCTGCCTTTAGTACTTATACACTTTTCGTAACACCATTATGGAAAGCCCGATGTGACAAGATTCTAATCTGTGAGTTGACGAACTATGAAAACTTTAGCCACCAATTATGCACGAGTGTTCTGCTCTTGGCATGCACTGTTCAAAACATGAAAACAAAAGCGGGAAACGAAATGGCATCTCACCTGCTCGTTAGCACACCAGCACTCTACAAAATGTGCAACAGCCGAATACATAAATCGCTCGAATGAGCTGCCCGTTGGCTGAATGCATTCTCAGTTATGTTGATATAATAATTGTCATTGAAAGCGACCAAATAATGTGCAGGCAGCAGACTGAGCCGAGCTCTTTGACGTGGAATTCTAACACAAACTTACCTGTACTTTCATGTCTTACGATGCTTATTTGACTTGCGAGGTTATTTTATTTGACATGTAATGCTTATTTTCGAACTTATGCTTATTTGACATAAGATGGTTATGTGCGGTACCGCTTATAGTACGGATATTCATGACTCCCGTGACTTACGTTATAAGCAGTCTATACTGTATGTATCATTAGTATAGAAAACACTGCAGTCTTCCCCTCTTGTGGTAAGACTCGTGGGAACATCACAAATGTGTGTGTGTGTGTGTGTGTTTTTAACTTGGTGTGGGCAGACTTCTCAAATTTTATTGGAAAAAGTGTGCACAAGATTTGAGCGAATATGGTATAGTATCACTTACCTGTCACATACAATGGTGTGTTATCGGGGTCGATTTAGAGGCCTTTTTTTGTTGGTCGTTTGTAGCTGAATCTATCTACTGTATCTTTGACGTATTCAGTGTGTAGGCTCTTTCGGATGGTTCTGGTTGGGCACAAGTTGGTGGTTGCAAGTGCGTTCGTGTTTTTTTATGATGAAATAATACAAAGAAACTATTTTAGCACATGCGTAATCCATTCCTTTCATTTGCTTTTTCTGCTCTTTGCAGAAGAAATACCCGAGATGCAGAAAAAAGACAAAGAGGCACCGACTACTCCCACAACATCTGCGGCACCTGTGACACCTGACTATGCAGCTGGCCTGCTTTCATCCTCGCAGGTGAGAATTGCAAGTTGTGCTTGTCTTGTTTTGCGTGGTATTCATTGCTGACTATTGCAGTGGAACAAGCTAAAACTGACGCCTTGTCCTCAGTTTCAGTTTGTGCCTTGCATTATAAAACCGGTTTTCACAGCAGCGCTGCTTCCTCTCGTCTCACATCCAAACAGGGCTAGAGAGAGGCAGTTTAGAGCTATTTTTCTGCTGTGTAAAATATGCAGTGCACTGTAACCCTTTAAAGGTCAAATATATGTGTGACCCCACAGGAATTTGTCTTCAGTGTGATTTGTTGAAAAAAAGTCTGTCCTAATTTCTTTAGAGGCCATAAAGTTACAAAAAAAGTGTTTTGTAAAGGCATAGATGCAAGAAAAAAAGATCTGTGATGTGCCGTGGCTTACAAGTTAGTGTGTGTGAATCTTAGGATTTTAAAAGGGTACCAACGCGAAAACTTTCAGTTGTCATTTTTTTTTTGCATAAAATGAAATGCCAAGATATTTGAAGAAGCAGCGCACAGAGGGACACAAAACATGCACGCATAAAAGACGCAAACACAAGCGCTGTACTGCGACTGATCATATAAAAATGCTAAGCCCTCAAGAGCTTAGCAAAGGGCCGTATTTTTGCGCATATAATTCGCAAAGGTCATCGAAGATGTGCGAAGCAGGGGTTACACTGTATTGACCGAGATGGCCCAAGTGGAAGCGGGGGCGACTGTCAAGGGAGCTAGGCCTGCCTCACAAGTTCTGTGCAAGCTGAAGATGGCTGCATCGCTTTATGAAGTGCCAATCTTGAAATGCTCAATCAGATGGCGGACTACAATATTTCAGTGCTTGCCTATTTTTAGGAGAAGCTGCTCAAGTACCACACAGAAAAAAAATCACTGCATTTCAAGCTGCTTGAAGATAATTATGGGGCGAAGCTTTTGAAGGGGATTATTGTGATTAAAGTTGAGATAGTAATGAGACTGATTGTGGTTGTGATACTTATATATTTTTTTATTTAAGGAGATAGTGCTGAGACTGATTGTGATACAGTAAAAGCTCGTTAATTCGACACCCGTTAATTCAGATAATTCGGACGGCTCTATTGGTCCCGGCCAAAGTGCATGTTAATCTATAGGACCAAACCTTCGTTATTTCGTTGGAATTCATCTCCGCACCGCTTAATTCGAACAAATGCTGACGGCTGCTGCTACACAAAAAGTGTGATAAAGCAGCGCTGGCACCACTGGAGTGAAACTTAAACCTGAGTGGCATCGCCATCATCATCAACTGGTGGGGGCGATCGCAGCGTCACTGAACGTCGGCGTCTTCCTTCTTCTCCACTCAGCGCCTCTGATGCCATTTTCCCTTGTGTTGTCGTGTCCGAACCATCTCTTCTTGCGGAGTTCTCTTTTTCTTTCATTGTGACCGTATTTACATGCCACCACCATCGCGCGCTACAGTGATGGCAACGCCGAAAAAGCGGCAGAACTACGACGCAAAGAACTTGGCGACTAAAGTGGAAATTTTGAAAGCACTGAAGAACGGCGAATCGCGACAGCAGGTTATGACCAAGTACAATGTGAAGCGGAGCACGTTGGGAACGTACGTGAAAAATGAAAAAATGAACAACAGATTCGACAAGCCTTTGAAAGCAAGAAGTTTCATGCCTCTAGAAAGCGGTTGCGAACCGCAGCTCATCCCTAGCTCGAAGAAGCTTTGCTTCGGTGGTTTACTGACTGTCGCAACGCGCATCTGCCTTTGAGCGGACCTCTCATCATGGCGCAAGGTGGGAAGTATGCTGCAATGATGAACATTGAATCGTTCAAAGCGTCAGAAGGGTGGTTTGCGAGGTTTAGAGAGAGACACGAACTTGTCTTCAGGAGTGTGTGCGGCGAAAAGGCCAGTGTTGATGAAAGGTTGACCACCGAGTGGAGAAATGTGAAGCTGCGGGAGCACATCGCCGCATATGAACCACGTGACGTGTTCAATGCAGATGAAACTGCTCTATTTTTCAGAGCTCTGCCTGACAAGACGGTGACTTTCAAAGCAAGAAGTGCAAGCAAAGGATAACTTTGCTTCTTGCCACCAATATGACTGGCACGGAGCGCTTGCCACTACTTGTCGTCTGGAAGGCGCTTAAGCCACGTTGTTTTAAGAACGTCAAAAGCCTTCCTGTCGAGTACACAGCGAACAGGAAGGCATGGATGACATCGGACATTTTTCGCGGCTAGCTGTAGCAGTTGGACCGGCACATCACGTCGAAGGACCGCAAGATAATTATGGTTGTTGACAACTGCAGTGCCCATAACTGTACAGTCGAACTGAAGAGCATCAAAGTAGTTTTTTTGCCACCCAACACTACGTCTGCTTTTCAGCCGATGGACCAGGGTATCATTCACTACGGGAAGTCGAAGTACCGTAAGCACCTGCTAGAGCGAATGATCCTATGCTCAGAAGCTGGAAAGTTGTATCAAGTGGACTTACTCGGCGCAGTGCACATCATCGCCCACGTGTGGAAAAACACTCCGCCGCAACTCATCGCCAACTGTTTTCGACACAGCGGTTTTGTGAGGCCCGAGCATGCAGCAGTAGCTGACGATGGCATCGAGGAGGTGTCAGCCGAGTCCACCGACGACGACTGCCCAACTTTCAAAGCTGTCCTTCCCACAGATGTGACCTTTCAGGACTGCATCGCGATTGATCATGGTGTCGCCAAGAGTGGTCTCCCGACCGATCAAGATTAATGATGTCACGGGCGCCCATGAAGACCACGATTCCGACGAATAATCATGTGAGGAAATACAGCCGCGACCTCATCGCACCTCACGGGAAGTCTCGGAGGCACTGTTAATATTAGAGGACGCTTGCCTGAACACTCCCGACAGCTTGCATGTTGTTGGCCATTTGGAACAGTTAAGAAAAATTGTGATGTCAGCCGGAATCTGCACGAAAACGCAGACGACAATTACAAAATACTTCAACAAATAAAGGTATGCTTCTGCAGCTTGATTTTAAATGTTGTTTTCCCTGTTCATTCGTTAATTCGGCATTCGGTTAATTTGGACAGTTTTTCCGGTCCCGTGAAATCCGAATTAACGAGCTTTTACTGTATAGCGGTGATTCTTCTTTACAGCTGATATGAGGTTCTGAGTTTCGGGTTACGTTTTGACTTTATAATCACAGCTTCATTAGCTATTGTCTCTAGTGTAGAATTTTCTTGTCGGCATTGCCGCCTTGCATCTGCTTCAAGTTGTTTCAACTGCGCGTCAGCTTGGCGTTTTTCCTGCTTAGCCTTTACTTCCTTAGCCCTAGTCTGTGGTGTAGAACTTTGTTGTCGCCGTCCCCGCTTTGCATCCGCTTCCTTCTCTTTTGTCTCCGCGGTAGCTTCCCGTCGACGGCGACGCTGATACTCAGCACGTCGCCCTTTCCTGCGTTCGTCTTCGTCCATATGAGAGAAGAAAATGTGTGGTATGGAACATGGTTATATATATATATATAGCGTTGACAGCAGCGCCATCACATCTACAATTAACCACAGTGCCCTCTGTTGCTTATAAGTTGAAGGTTACATGAACGATGGATGGATGTGGCTGTACCCTTTAAATCGGGCGGCGCTAACGCCACCTAGCCGTAATACATAGTGAACTAACCATTAGATTTATCTTTTTTTTCCTTTAAATAGTGAGGTTGAGCATTCGTACTTTGCAGTGAAGGGTTTATTTTCACTCGTGCCTTGACTTTAGCCACCAATCAGATAACCTCCTTCTAGTTAAGTCTACCCACTTAAACTCTATTTTGCCCTCCCCGTCCCTAAACCCCAGTGCTTTGAAAAACTCTTCGCCATCATCCTGAACTGTAGGGTGAAGCCCTTTACAGAACATTATCAAGTGTTCGGCAGTTTCTTCTTCCTCTCCACATGCACTGCATACTGTGTCTACCCCTTCGTATTTGGCCCGATATGTCATGGTTCGCAACACTCCCATCCTGGCCTCAAACAGTAGTGAACTACTCCGAGTATTATCATAAATCCTTTCCTTGGCAATTTCGTGCTTAAAAGTTCGATAGATCTCTAGTGCGGACTTCTTAATCATGCCAAATGTCCACTAGTCAGTCTCCGTTTCCTTCACTTTCTTCTTAACCGATAGTTCTTTTTGGTTTAGCCACCTGCTGTTTTCTAAGTATTTACCAGTCAATTTCCTGGTTTGCTTCCTCTATTTTGTATCGACATTCTTCATGTACAAGTAGCTGAAAACCTTTCTACCCCAACGCTCCTCCCCCATTTCTCTTAATCGCTTCTCAAATTTTATCTTGCTGCTAGCTTCTCTGCCCTCAAATGATGTCCATCCCATATCACCTTGTACTCCCTGATTGGGTGTATTCCCGTGAGCTCCTAAAGCAAGCCTACCTATTCCACGTTGCTTAATTTCTAATCTTGCTTGAACTTCTGGTCTCATGCACAAGACCGCATTTTCGAACGTCAGACCAGAAACTATAACCCCTTTCCATATTCCTCTCACAACATCATACCTATTTCAATTCCACAGTGCCCTGTTTTTCATCACCGCTGCATTCCTGTTACCTTTAGTCGTCGCGTATATTTCGTGTTGCCTTAGGTAATCGGCCTCATTGCTTATCCATACGCCCAGATATTTGTATTTATCTGTTATCGCTTGCGTGACCTCCCGTATTCTAAGCTCAATACCTTCTTTATCATTAAAAATCGTGGCTGCAGGTTTTTACTCACTAAAACTGAAATTTAACCTATCTACCTTATTACCGCAGATGTCCATCAATCTCTGCAAATATTCCTTGTTGTCAGCCATTAGCACTATATCATCTGCGTACATCAATGCTGGTATTGCTTGTTCAATAAGTTTTCCTTGTTTGACGAAAGAGAGGTTGAAGTCCAGTTCCCTTCCCTCTAATTTGGCCTGTAATCCTATTAGGCACATCATGAATAACTAGGGTGACAGAGGACACCCCTGCCTAAGCCCCTGTTTTTCCTCTGCAGGCTTGGAT